ATTCACCTCTCCAAGCCCGAACAGGCCACTAGAGATGAGGAGGCTACTTGTGGTTATAACCCTCTCTTAACTCTGTAACTCTGAAACCCTGGTAGTACCGCGCTCAACTTGTTTCTCCTAGCTGCTGCTAGGAGAAACAAGTTGAGCGTGGTACTTCCAGGGACGTGGTTGAATCAAACTCCAAAGTTTCAAATTATATTTAAATCAAACTCGGAAGTTTTAAATTATGTTTAAAAATCTTTTTCAAAATAATTTGAAAAATTCTTGTTATAAATTATTAAATAACACTATGTAAAATATATTTTAAATAAAGTTAAAGTAGAAAATTATACTAATTTTCAACATCATTAAACAAAAAAAATATATGTATTAATAGATACAAAATAAAAATAAAACTCAAAAAAACTCACTGGGCTGGGGTTTTCAAAAAAAACTTAGGTTTTTGCCAACCCTGACCATGTTGGACATGAATGGTATTGTAGTTAGTGCTTTTGGTTTGCATTGTTGGGATCACAGACGGAGCTCTTTGTTACAACATTTTGTCGATTATCAGGATTAAGCTAACAGCATAATTTATTGTTAAAGGTATCTTGTACTATCTTTATTTAAGTCAAGTTCTCTGATATTTCAAATCATGACTATAATACCAAAAGTTTCACTTTATTGCTTGTACTTTGAGATATTAGTTAAGATTTTTTTTTCTGTTTCATTTTAGGATCTCACTTTAAACGGTTATTTTTAATGTGATTTTTTGTAATATCATTTCAATTTTCACAACCACTACTTGAGTTAAAACACTTTTTCATTTCACTTAAACCACTTACCAACCAACTTCACGTTTTTTATAGCTCTCCTTCTGCTCAAAGTTACATTTTGGTTTTAATCCTAATTAAATTGACTTAGTACTTTTTCTTTATCAATCTGCAATTTTATGTATTTATTGATACTTTAAACTTATTATTCTCAATATTTAAAATTATCTTACCTAGAGCTTTATAACTCGTTTATAAGACTCTTTTAATCACTTACTTTTAGCTTCTTGGTTGTGTCTCATCTCTGACCATATGCTTGTGTTTACAAGGCTGAATTACTAAATTTATTTTGTGATTTTGCTTTTTGATGATTTTAGGGCTTATGTTTTTTTGTCTCTGCTTAAAACTATACAACCTCTGCTTCTATACAACCTCGTGTATTTAGGAAGGCATAGAATATTTTTTTCCTTTTTATTTCAAGCCTCATTGATTCAGTTTTAAGTCAAGTCTCATTAAGTCAATTTTAAATCAAGTCTCATTATATCCCATGGTTTTCACTTTCTTGGACAACTTGCTATTTCTAATTATGATTTTTCTTTTTTCACCAACTAAACTTCTTCTGATTGTTTATAAAAGTTGCAAAAAGTCTAACACTAAGCGCCGTTATAGAATCAGATTTATCTGATTCTTAAATTGCTAAATTTCATGTTTTATCCTGGAAGTTAGGTTTTAAACTTTTAGAAAATCTTTAACAATGTCATTAATAAAGGGCATTCCATATTGCATCATTTAATGGACCTGTGGGTAACACTTTACAGACTTTTTTCAAATTTTAACCACCTATATAAAAAAACAGAATCTTTTGCCTTATGCTTCCACTTATGCATCTTGTAGTTTCTGCTCCTATTTTTTACCCAAACATATCTTCTACATGATAAGTTGTTCAGATCTTATTACAATCTATTGCTATCTTTCTATTAGTTCTTTCTACACATCCTTAATATCTGTAGTTATCTAAATATCTGACAAAAATAAAAGAATTTTTTTTTTTTTTTGGAGAGAAAATAGTTTGTCCTATTAATATTAAGAGTTAATATTATGATAATAAAGATTTTAAATTTCAAGGTACTTGAGTAGTTCTATGTTTGCTATCATGAAATATTTCTATATTAAGGTATAAGAGTTTCTTGAAAAATTTGTATTAAAATTCTGAATAAACTTTTAAATAATGCCGAAAGTATTTTGTCAGCATTTTGATTAAATAAATGAAAAAATGATTAAAAAATAAATTAAAAAAACAATTTAGCCCCACATAATGACTTCATGTCAAATTAGCTTTTTGGCCAACCCTAAGTTTTTGAAATGTCCAATATTGAAGTTAGGGTTAAGGCCCATATCTTTTTTACTTATTTATAAAAATAAATTTCATTTAGTTCACAGTTTAAGTTTAGAAACTTGTATAATAGTGAATCTGTAAATTCCATAGTGTGAGTATGTTTTAAAATCAACCCCTTCTTCTTTGGATAACTGTTGATACAAAGAGCTGTTCTTGTTTCCAACTTTGTTGCAATTTGGGTATACTTTCTATTTTTACTTCTAGGCTCTTCATTTCAACTAAAAACTAATGGTAATCAATGTCTGATTTGGTATCAATGTCTGATTTAATAAGGGTAATCAATGTCTGATTTTAATGGTAATCAATGTCTAATTATAAACTGGACATTGTTGTTGATGTTTTTGTTGTTGACAATAATTATTGTCATAAAAGTATTAATACTTTTACTGTTGTCATTGTTGTCGGTAATCATATTATTGTTATTGTTTATTTTATTGATGTTCTTGTTGATATTGTTGTTAAATTTGGTATAAAAGTTATTATTCTTTATTTCAATGGGGGTCATTCTATATCATATAACTTAATGGACCCATGGGTACCATCTCAAATTTTGACCAACCATATAAAAAAACACAATACTAAATTAAGTATTGATTAAAATCAGCATAATATTAGTAAAATTATACAGTTTCATAATTAATAAAAGTTTGTGTTACTTCGATGTACTTATAGAATCAAAAAATAAGTTTAATATAAAATTCACTCACATTTGTTTACATAAAACACAAAAACAAACGTAAATATTTATTAACAATTCAACATTTAAAAACTTTTGATTCAAAAAAACTTTCGGTACTTGGGCTTATAAAATATTGTTTTTAATGAATAAGTTAACTAGTACCAAAATCAAAGTCTCTAGTTGAAATTACTTTTGTAAACATTGTTTGTTTTTGGTACATGGGTACATGACTTATTAAAAAAAAAAGTTTGTATGCTAAGTATCTAAAATGTATCTTTGCATCCCTACTTAGCATCCCTAATTAGAATAGTCACTTGACAAGTGTGTCCACTTGTCAAGTTTGACCACTTGACAAGTTTGACCAACTTGACAAGTGTGACCACTTGTAAAGTTTATTAAACTTATGCAGCAGCCTATTAAAAACTTTGCTAGCGTAGCATAATTATTTCAAATAAATTATGAAACTCAGCACTGTACAGGTTCTGTAATTATTGATACTTATAAAAAAAAAAACCTATACTCTCTTACGACATGTTTTTTTTGAGTGTATAGCTTTTTTTTTTCTAGTTTAAAACTAGAATAAAAAAGAAGCAACTATGTTATATCATGTTAAAAGTGAAAATAAAAAATTAAAAAAATCAGAAGAAGGAAGAAGTGTATGTAGAAATAAAATATGAAAACACAAGCACTTCTATCTTTTCTATCTTTAATATTGGTTATTGGAGCACTTATTTGAATACTTTGTCAAACAGAACCTTCCATCTGATTCTCCATCATTAATCATTAATCATTTTTATGTATGAACTTCACATTGTTAGTTTTTATCACAAATCTTAAGCATAAACTCTATGTACCATTCATTAATGTAAAAGAATCCCATGTATTTATTGGGTTGTAGCCTTCGAAATTAGAAAAATAACGTCAGCAATCAATTGCAGACCTTGAACTATTTTTTTTCAGCACAAAATTTTCACTACTACTGGATCTAGAGCTCAATTTTTTTTTATTTCTCAATATTTCACTCAGTCTTCTTACTGATCCTAGCTTGGGTTTAGTTGTTGCCTTTTAGGTGGTTCAAATCATTCTATGATCTCACTAAAACTTTTATTTTTAAAATTAACTTTTTATGTATTGAATCTTAGCATTTGCAAAGTTCAACTGACCTATTTGCGCTTTGTGAGACAAATTTAAATTTAGCTGTCATTTTTAGCCATCAACACTATGATTATAGTGTTGATGGCTATTATTATGATCATAGTGTTGATGGCTAAAAATGACAGCTTAGCATTTTAGCCATCAACACTATGATCATAGTGTTGCTGGCTAAATTTAAATTTAGCCATCAACACTATGATCTTTAGATCATAGTGTTGATGGCTATTATTCTTTGATTCACAAAAAATATGGTCTATAAATTTTACATGACTTTTATATAGTCTATAAATATCTCCAATAAACGCATTACTGCATTATATTACAATTCATTCTTGTATTATTTCTTTGATTCCTTTTATATGGTGTAGATCCACTTTTTGCGGCAATTACAGCCTCAATACTCTGAGGTATTGATTCATGCTAATTGTGAATATTTTTCAAGAGAATCTCAGCCTAATCTTCAATTAAAACAGTTTCCACTCCTTTTAGATTGCAAATCAACTTCTTACTTGAATCTCTCAGAACAACCATAAATGCTCAATTAGTTCAAATTTGTTAGAATGTCCCTAATATTGAAAAAAGGCATTACCTCCATAAACAGTTCTTGAACCACAGGTTGAACTTTGTTGAAACCATAACTTTGTTATGACTTTTTTCAGATCTACTAGTTGAGTTTTGTTTTCTTCTGTTTTCAATTTTATCCAAATGTTTTTGGCGGGTTTTAAATCTAGTGAACTGCCCATCATAGCGCAAGTATGTTATCATTGTATATATCAACTTGCACTTTATCACATCACCACATTTTAACAGTCCAGTCCTTCTGATCTTTTCAAAAATTAGACATTAGTAAATATTTTTTTGAGAAAGTTGTGGCTTTTATGCTGCATCGTATGATTGAAAATTTAATGACCTTGGCTAATGTCTTTGAACTGGGCAGGATTAATTTTAAATATATGGTTTAATTATGCTAATATATATATATTTTTTTCAAAAATTACAAAAACCTTTTTTTTTTTAGAGATATACAAGAGGTTGTTTTAACAATCAAAGAGCCTTCACTTGATGTTTCTAATTTACAACTGACATTTGTTGATACTCCAGGATATTTTGATGATGATGGTGACAAGCAAGATAAAAGAAACTATAATGCTTTAAAAGAGTATAGAAAAAAAAATTTTAAAGAATATTACCCCAATCTAATTTTTATTGTAATTCACGGTTCTGATAATCGGTTTTTAAATGGTCCATTAAAAATGTTTCTTAAAAAGCTCAAAAAACTTGATCTAATTTGTCCAACGTATCCCAACGTTATTTGCCTTTTTACTTATGCGACATCTTTTTTAAATGGTTCAGAAGAAAATATTGAGGGAAAAAAAAAAAGGTTAATTGATTTATGCTTTGATATGTTAAAAGTAAAGGTATCTGTGGCTTACATTGATAATGATTACAAAAATTTGAAAAAGCAAGGAGACTGGACTGTACTATCAGATGGTACTCTTCAGCCTTTTAATGTGTTTGAGTGTGCAAAAATGTTAATGAAAGGTACTGACAACAAACCAAAGGGACTAAAGTATATTGATCCTCTCGGTTTTAAAACATTAGCAAGTTTTTTCAAAGCATCTTCAAATGAATATTTAATTAAAACCAATGTGATTTGTAATAATGATGAGATTAGCGACTATTCAATGGTAAGTGCAAATTTGATTTTATATATATATATATATAATATATATATATATATATATATATATATATATATATATATATATATATATTTATAAATCTTTAGTTAAAATTGATTAGCATTACAATTAATGAATTGTACAATTTTATCCATTATTAAATAGTATAATATATTATTTATATATTGAAAGGGCATTGTAGCTCCCAATGTTTTGATTGCATTTAGCATGAAACTTATAGTTGTGAAAAGTATGCAGTTTTATTTATAAATAATATATATATATATATATATATATATATATATATATATATATATATATATATATATATATATATATATATATATATATATATATATATTTATATATATATATATATATATATATATATATATATATATATATATATATATATATATATATATATATATATATATATATATATATATATATATATATATATATATATATATATATATATAAATCTTTATTTAAAATTGAATAGCATTACAATTAATGAGTTGTACAATTTTATCCATTATTAAGTACTATACTATATTATTTATATGTTAAAAGGGCATTGTAGCTCCCAATGTTTTGTGACAGGTAGAGGTTGCTGAGATAAAGAATACAGAGGGATTTTTGAATAAAAGATTGTTGATAGGTGGTGGTCTTTGAAGTGTTCAGAGCAAATGGGAATCTGTTTGGGTTTCAGTTGTTAGTGTGAGCCAAGTTGGTGGTCATAGGGTGGCATGAATCAGCACGGATCTTTTTAAGGATATTAACACAGATCTTGTCTAATAACTCTTTCATGGCTAAACTAATATTGAAGCTGCTTGAATTGGTTACATTAATTCTAAAAACGCGTTTGAGTAGATATGGTACTGATTTTATATTGTTGTGGACTTTAGTCGACTGTTCATCCTAATCAAGATTCTCATTGAGCATGATTTCAAGGTATTTGTGGCTGTTAACATTTTCAAGCTCAGTATTATTGAGTACGAGAGAAGATATAAGTTGAATTTCGGAGAACCTAGGATTAATTCTAATGATTTACATTTACAGGGTTCTCACTCCTTAAAAACCTTAAATATCCTTAAAAAAAAAAAAAAAATCCTTAAAAGTCCTTAAATAACCTTAAACCTTAAAAAAGTTAAAATTTGACTGCTCTACTTAATTTCTCCTCAATTCTTTTTTTTAATTATCTAGGAAATTTTATTAAAGCAAATGGATTATACTTATCTATGGAGAAGCATATAGTTACTTAGTTACTTCTTTGATGAGTTAAAATCCTATATTTTTGTTTTATTTATATATATATATATATATATATATATATATATATATATATATATATATATATATATATATATATATATATATATATTTTTTTTTTTTTTTTTTTTTTTTTTATTCACCTCCTCAAGGCCGAGAAGGCCACTGCAGACGAGGAGGCTACTTATTTGTGGTTATAACCCTCTCTCAACTCTATAACTCCGAAACACGAACCTTGACGAACGAGGCCGCTGCGCGGAGAAACGAGTTGAGCGCGGTACTACCAGGGACGTGGTGGGGATCGAACTCGGAACCACTCGTTTATGAAGCGAGCGCTCTACCACTACACCACTACCGCATATATATATATATATATATATATATATATATATACACCACTACCGCATATATATATATATATATATATATATATATATATATATATATATATATATATGTATATATATATATATATGTATGTATGTATGTATGTATGTATACGTATTAATGCTTGCCTATATCTTCGTTAGAGTGCTTGATGAATTAAAGTAAATTAAAATAATTTAGATTAAATCAGAGCTGTATTTATATATTTTTTATAAATTTATAAAACTACATATTTTTCACTACTATAAGTTAGTTTTATTTTTAATATATATACATGTATACAGGCCTTGTGATGTATAAAAACTGCGTGACGCATAAGCACGACATGATTTTTGGCGTCATTAAATTCTTTTTATTTGCTTTTCATATTTATCAACATTAACTGCACCAATTTACTTAATTACCGCAAAACTACTTTAAATCATTAATGTAGAAATGTTATTATTTAAAAATGTTTTGAAATGTTTTGTTTTTAAAATATAAAAACATTTGTTTATTTTCTCGACGTTTGATACGTTTTGTCTATACTAAAGGAATAAAAAACATAAGTTTTTCAAATAATTATTTTTTCTTTTTAAAAAGTCAGAGAGTAATAAACTGGAAATTTTAATCATGTACGATTAAAAACTGTGCAATAGCTAATATTTTTACTAGCGATTTTATATAATTTTTTTTTATTAGAGATTTTTTTATGTTTTTTTTTTTGGCTTTTTGTATTTGACTTTCACTTTCTTTATATATATTTATTTTGTTTTCTTTGTAATTGACTCTCTTTTTTAATTACAGCTATATATATACAACCCTCTGAATGAGGAAAAATGAGGTCAGTAATTTATTGCTGACCTCAAACTATTAAAAGTTGGCATAAGGTTGGTAAAGAAAATTTGGTACAAAGGGATTACTATAAAACATAGAAATGAGGTCAGCAATATTTTGCCGACCTCAAACACTTTAAGGTCAGCAGTTAGGTTGGCATCGCCGAATGCCGACCCTAAGTCAGAGGGTTATATATATATATATATATATATATATATATATATATATATATATATATATATATATATATATATATATATATATATATGTATATATATGTATATATATATATACCTAATTACAGCTAAATGTATATACTTTAGGCAAAAAACCATTAGCAAGATATTAAACAAACTTGATATTAAAAAGATTGTTATATGTTTTTTAATAATTGATATTTGGTTAAATAATGATAGTTACACTTCTTGGCTTCAGAAAGATAAAAATTCTAGCCTTGCAAGATGCAAAGTTTGTTTTAAGTCATTCTCAGTAGCAGCCATGGGTATAAAGGCTCTTGATGTACATAGGAGAGGAGCAAAACACATAGAGCGATTGCCTAAAGAGGGTTATTTTGTTTCGTTTAAAGAAACTTTGCAATCAGTACCACAGAAGCCTACCTCATCAAAACAATGTATTATTTCATATATGCTTCAAAAAAAAAGCAGTTTTGAAAGCAGAGTTAATTTGATGTTACATATTGTTCAAAGCAAATATTCTTTTAGATCAAGTGAGAATAAGTCTAAGCAATTTGCTTCCATGTTTCCAGATAACAAAATTGCCAGCGACTTTTCCTGTGGTCGAACAAAGTCTGGCTATATTGTAACTCATGGTCTTGCCCCTTATTTTAAAAACATTCTGATAAAAGATCTTAACCTGCTTGATAACTGTCTTTTTGATGAGTCTTACAATAAAATTGTAAAGAAAGGTCAAATAGACTTACAGGTGCGATATTGGAATGAAGAGAGTAATACTGTTTGCACAAGATATTATACTTCAGAGTTCATGGGAAAAGCTGCAGCCCCAGATATTCTAAATATGTTTAAATCCTGCATGACTGGTTTAAATGCTGAAAAAATGCTTCAGGATTCTATGGATGGCCATAAAGTAAATAAACTGTTTTTGGAAATGCTCAACAAAGAACGTCATAACAATGGATTAAGTACACTCATCGATATTGGTACCTGTGGTTTACATACTATCAATGGATCCTTACAAACTGGTACTAAAGCTACTGATTGGAACTTAAAGAAGTTAATGTCTTCAATGTACCAAATATTTCATGAAAGTCCATCAAGAGCAAGTGATTATGAAAGAATAGCTGAGGCAACAAGTTCAGATTTTCCTTACTGGCTGAAAATCAAAGTGTTGCCAAGAAAGCAATAGAGGTTTTGGCAAAAGTAGTTGTTGACTACTGGAAGTCTTTACCAAAGAGTAAGCAACCTGGATTTGGTAAATCAGGACAAAAACACTAGCTTTGAACATTTAAGTTCTCCAACAAATAAAGTTTTAGTTCCTTTAAAGTTAATGTTTTTTGAAGAAATTAGTGGCAGTCTTAATACATCCCTTGGTACATAATATTTAATCTATATACAATTTTATTGCTCTTTATGTAATATATTTTGTTTTATTTTAAAAGTAAAAAAATATTCTGAGATATTCTTTTCATATTATTTTTAAAATTTTGAGAAAAAATCACATAAAGTTATTTTTAATCTTGCTATTTTTTTTTTCTTCTAGTTTCTTTTCAAACTGATAAACCAATGACTCTTTTTCTGGTGGTGACACTTGAAGAACTACTATGCAACTTTTATGCAAAGTTCATTCAATTAGATGTTCTTTTAAATGCCAAAACTACAACATCTTTGTTAAAAATAGATTTGTTTAATTTTGCAAACCGGCTTTCAACCAGCCAAATTGATGTTGGTTTTTCATTGAAGTATGATCTCCAGCAACTTAAGAGTAAGGGAAAGATTACCGATGTTCAAATTGACAAATTCAAAAAGGAAATATGTGATTTTCTTGTCTCAATGTGTACTCATATTATTGAGAAAAGCCCTTTGTCTTCACTGGTTGCTCGCTGTCTGGTGTGTATTTCCCCATCATTTATGGTTGATTATCCAGAAAAGTGTGATTATTTTTTTGACAAACTGTTGATGAAGCTTGTTACTTACAAGAAAATTAGAGCTTCTGTTGGTGATTTAGCTAAGAAAGAATATTCCAGGTTCTGTAAAAGTATGGTCATTGATAACAAAGAAGTATTTTTGACTTTTGATAAAGATAAGGATCGTTTGGACTACTTTTTGTGGAAATACACTGATTTAAAGATATATGCAAATCTATAGCACATTTTCAAAATTATACATATTTTATCGCACGGACAAGGTCAAGTTGAACAAGGATTTAGCAGCAATTAAAGTCTGATCGATGACAATATGTCCCCAGACACTATTATCTCATTACGTTCAATTCAAGATTACCTCACATTTCATGGGTTTATGGCTCATGAAGTTGAAATAACAAAAGATTTA